AGTTGACTACTTCTCCTCATCCTAGTAATCCATGACCAGTAAAATCAATTCATCGTTGATGAACTTGAGGAATAGGTCAAGAAATCCTTTGCCTCTGCTGCACAGGCAAAATAAGAATCCATGTTTCATGGGTAGTTTGGTGTAGGAAGCTAAAATATGTCCCTCCATTTTCATGTCAAGGAGGAAGAGATTTATACTCCAGATCACACATGAGAAATGGAATTAGATCTTCATTTATTAACTTGGTTTTATTTCCCTTCTCCTGCCTGCATGGACCACACAGGTCAAATTGATTGTCAATTTAAGGAGGCCAATCCTCCACTAGCTCATCCATGAACAATATGCTCTATTGTCCTTGGATGATCTGGAGGAGAAACTATTTTCCTTGTTGCCTGCACATGTCTGACACAGCCTTTATTGGTCATGGAAGGAGGAAGGAGAAGAAGTATTTCTCCAGCTCCTCCATCACCCATAAATAATGTTGGTCATGCAAGGTAGGAATATGAATTATGATCCTCCAAATAATCAATTATTAATGAGACCAATTGGTCATCAATGAACATGAAAGACAGTTGTTGGTCTTCCCTTGCTCTAGGACCAATACAAGGTGTACTGCTCACCAGGCAAGGAGGACAACTGATACTTCTCCAAATCATCAATGACCAATGTGACTTTTGGAGAGCATAGACAAGATCAAGCCTTCCTTCTCCTTCCCTCAACACTGATTCAGATTTATTTGGAAGAAATGGAAGTAGGCAGAGATGCTGCCTGCTTTGAATTCCTTGTTAAGCCCAATGGGCTTCACCAGGACGAATCAATGATTACCAGATGACAAGTGACATCAGGATACTGAATTGAATCAATTCAGCAGCCAGATGTCACCTGTCATCAGGTGCTTATTGATTGGTCCTGGTGCTTAAGCTGAAACATGACATCTGGTAAGCACATGTTAATCCCACCATGCTTGGTTATTTAATTTCCATAGGAAAGATTTTGAAATATATTATTTTAATTTCAGGGCAAAATTTCTTGACATCCAATAAGAATAAAAATAAATGATCATTATGTCCTCTAAGTTTAAAAATATGCTGTTTGCTGAAAACTGCACTCTTGCTGAAATAAAAATGAAAGAAGGAAAAGTAGGAATAATAATCTGTTTTTTTCAAGCTGTTTGTGTCAATTTTGCTTTTAGAAGAGGGAAACAACCAAATTTTCATGTTTTTTTCAAAGATTTACAATCTAAATTCTAGAAATATCCTCAATGAAGGATTTTATGCTACTGTATATTTTTAATTATTCATTTCTAGGAAAAACAACAGCACCCACATCTTAGCAGAGTTTGTTGCTGAAAAGAGGTAACACCAGACCCAAAGTGAAGGCAATGTGTACATTTTGCCTTTGTTTTTGGCCTGGTGTAATCTCCACA